AGACCTCACAAGTTCATGCTCACGGCCAGCCTCCCAAGGCTGCTGTGGCTCTGGGCTTGCTCTATATTGCTGGCCGAGCTGGCTGTTTTCTAGAATGCTGGAGAAATGGGCAATGGGCCTCACCTCTCTGGGGCAAGGTGCTATCTTCTCTAGTCACATTATCAGTTGCTGTTGTCACCTGGAGGATGCCAGGGTGGTCAGAGACCCTTGCTGAATATGATACATGATGTTTGGGGTCACCGTTTCAGAAATGTGACAAGCTGTTCTTCCTTCTGTTCTCTTCAAGAATGTAAATATTTAGCATCTGTCTTCTGTCATTTTCCACTCTATTTTATATTCTTTGTCTCTCCATCCTTTAAATTATCATTGTCCTTTCCTCAAAAAAAGTACATTATTTTTCTCCAGCTTAATGTACCTCTTTATTCTCTGGGAAGAGTTCTTCTAAATTTTAATATTTGCAAATAATAATTATCCCAAATAATAGGGCTTAAACACAATTTCTCATTTACTATTGAGCTTTCTATTCCTGTATTTCAACATTATGGAGGACATGGCCTTTGGAATTACACAGACCTGGGTTTAAATCCCAGCATTGACAATTAATTGGCTATATTACTTTTAACCTTGCAGCTCAGTGTTGCCCATGACCAGCACTATCCACCTCACCTGGGAGCTTAGTAGAAATGCGGAATCTTGGCCTTGCCCTGGAGCTACTGAATCTGCATTTTAACAAGACTCCCAGGTGACACATCTGTACTATGATTAAAGACACTTTCAGGGTGAACCAGTAGTAAGATATTCACGGAGAACTTTCCAATAAGACACATGGGATTGTCCTCTGATCACTAAATCATAAATTCACGTAAGAACTGGGAGAGAAGACAATCTACAAAGTCTATCTCATTTTAAAGAGATAGAAAGACTCCCAGAAACTTGACTGAAGTCGGTCCACCTGTGGATTCAATGGAAAAAAGTCAGCAAAGTAACTTCTGAAGGTGCCTGCTATGGTTTGAGTGTGTCCCCTCCAATCAGGAGTTCCCCATGTGATAGTATTAACAGGTAGGGTCTTTAAAAGGTGATGAGGCCATGAGGGCTGGTCCCTCATGAGTGGATCAGGTGCCCTGACAAAAGGATCAACAGAGGGTGCTCATCAATTTTTGCAGTTCCATCTTTTGTGGACATGGCGTTCAAGGCGTCATTTTGGAAACAGAGACCAGGTTTGTTCTCACCAGGGGAACAAACCNGGCGTTCAAGGCGTCATTTTGGAAACAGAGACCAGGTTTGTTCTCACCAGGGGAACAAACCAGCAGGTGCTTTGACCTTGAACTTCCTGGCTTCCAGAACTGTGAGAAATAAATTCCTGTTCTTTCTAAATTACCCAGTCTCAGGTATTTTGGTATAGCAGCACAAAACAGACTAAGTGCCCCTTCAAAATTTCAACCAACAAATTATAAGAATTTTGGTTCTTTTGGTAAGGCCAGGAATATATCAACATCTCTTAGTCTTTTGGCGTTAAACATTCAAATTATGTAATTCCCCTTGTTCTGATTCCAAACAGTAGGATTTTAATCTGGATTCCCACAGAGATCTGTCTGTGAGACTAGACTCCATTGCCGTAATTATGGGAGTGGTAGTAATAGTAGAGGTAACATTTATTTAGTACTTACCACAGGGTAGACACTATGCTAAGAACATCCTTTGAACAGCATACAACTGGTCTCTGTTTAGAGGATATTTGTATCAGTTTCTTTCTTTTAAATGTCACTGGTATGAACGAGAGGGTATAGAGAGCTGGGTTTCTACCCTATTACTGCTTAATCCTAGGTGGCCTGTTTATTCCTCCATTTAACCTGCCCATGATTTATTTTCCTCCTGCTAGAAATAGAAGTTAAAAAAAAAAAAAACATGTAATGTTTCTATTAATTTACTAAGTCCCTGCTCACATGTTATCTCACCAGACATCACTGAATCCTTCAAACATCTCCTAGAAGAATATATCATCTTCATCTCTCCCTTACATTTAATGGAAATGACTCTCAGAGAAGCTATCCAATATTCCATGACTAAAACCTGAAGCAGCCAAGACTGGAATCCATATGTTCTATTAAGCCTATGCTTTTTACTCTATAATCAGTTTGTTTCTAAAAAGTAGGTTGGTGAGAATTCAGTCAGAGGAGAGTTTTCAACAGGTAAAGATCTAAGATTCTGTATCAGTTATGATCATGTTTCACTGCGAATTACAAATAACAGTGGCTTGAACAAGATAGAAGTTTGTTTCTCTCATGTTCAAGAAGTATAGAGGAAATCAGTCCAGGATTTATATAATTTTTTCTTTTCCCTTTACCATACTGGTATGGCTGCTGGAGCTTTGCTATTACTTCTGTATTCCAGGCATCAGTAAGGAGAAACGGGAAAAAGAATTATAGGAAAAAAACAAAAAACAGAACTTGCCAACATTCCATATACCATTTTTGCTTATATCCAGTTGGCCAGATGTTAATCACATGGCCACATCTAGCAGTAAAAAAGATCGGGAAATTTTACTTTGGGCAACCATGTGTCTATCAAAAAATGGGGTATTTCATAACTATGG